TCATCCATCGCAGTTACACATTCTTGCCAACTATTTTTTTTGTTTTTGTTTTGTTATTGAAAAGCAATTAAGAGGCGGCTGAAACTTTCCGAAAACTCGAAAGTTTGCTCTGGCCAATAAATTTGTGGGGTCACTGGACAGAAGAAAAGCTTCAAGCCACAGAGGCTTTCAGGGCTTAAAGTGAGCTTTTTTTTGGCTTGAATAAATGTAAGCCAACGAACTGTAAAGAGTCGAAACAAATCTCTCTTACTCGTACTCGTATCGTACATTTACCAATGAAAATGTTGTAAGAAATGTCTGCCGTTTGGTATTTGCCGTTTGCTCTTTGCTTGTCAGCTGTTGCCTTCTGTTTGCTTGCCAATCAATCAATCAATCAATTACGAATGATGGCACGTGCATCTTGGGCTGCTTTGAATGTGCTTTTGACCCTGATTTTGGCTTTGCTTTTTGGCCCTAATTTTGCCAAATAAATAAATATTTCACAATTTCCATAGGCGCGCAAAAAAAAAATGCAAAAAAACAAAAAACAACCGAGCATAAATCAGTATGGGCGTCGATGTGTCTGACTCTACGATTTACATTGAATAATTTAAGGCTGTTGCCATTGCGTATACGCCACGTGTTGCAGGCTTTGTTAAAGCGAAAGATGAGCTGCACAGCATCTGCCTCTACAAATAAATTCAGCTAATTTAACCACTTCAAAAAGACATTTTAAATGCAAATTATTCTTTGATTTTCTTGGCCACGTAAAAAACTTAAGCCTGTCGGACCTTTGGGCAGCCTTTGGCATTGAGGAAAAACCCAACCCATTTCCATCCATTTTCATCCAGCACCTTGACAACAAAAAATGTCGCGCAATTGAATATTTTTGGCTGGCATGGGGGCCCGCCCCATGGGCCATCACTAATTAAAACATTTATCACTTTTTTGTGTTGACAAATGACTTGACATTGTTTTTGTTTTTTCTTTTCATTGTGTGTCATCAATGTGGCTGACACGAACGGGGAGGCAGGCGAAAATCTATTGCGATTTGGGTTTCGTATTTTTGGTGGCGCATTTGAAAAATTGAGAAATTTGAAATTACGGAAGGAGGGTTTTCCATTGAAAATGCAGGGTATTTTCCTTTGTTAGGATTCGGGATTCTTTATGGATAATACTCGTAAAATTTGGGTGGAATAAAAGATGAAAAAAAGCTGGCAAGCAAACAGTTTTCTCTCTGAAGTGCTTTGTTATTTTTCCTGGTAAAAAGATCTCTTAGCTCGAGCATTTTTAAAATCTAAAAGTCGAGCACTTTTCACAGGTAAACATTTTCTAACATCAAGCATATTTTAGGTGCATATTTACACGTAAAGTAAGCTTGTTTTTTAAATCAAATTTCCACCTAAAGCAAGTCATATTTCAGGTGCAAATTTCCACCGAAACTAAGGCTTTTGTGTGGCTCTAATTTTCCTGCTAAAGTAACGACCTTTACTGGTTTTTATTTCACCCCATGTTAGGAGACTTTTCTAGTGAAAATTTTGCTCGAAGCATCAGTTTTGAATTCTTATACGTTCTGGGAATTTAAACAATCCAAATCTCTGCACTCTTAATTTAATGCCATCAGTCATAGTCGTTGGCATGGATTTCTGTTAGTTTTCATTTAATGTTTTGTAATTTATGGCCCAGAATATGTGCCACATTTGATATCCCATGATATATGCCCAAATATCCGCCCAAACTCCATTTGAAAAATGTTTTCCCTAAGGGAAAGGACATTGGCCTATAAACAATGGAGGGCATGTTGCGTGTGAGGGCGTCAAGAGTCGCAGCTGTCAATGGATTTTGGCTAACGATATGGCATAAATATTGTCGGGGAAAAATGCTCGGAAAACGAAAGGAAATTTCCTAGATGACAAACGCAATGGCAAATTCTTACATGACATCAGGAATAAATGGTAGAAATGGGGTGGGAAAATATGTAAAACTTCGACGCAGTACCTGTCATGAAATTTCCTTTTTGAAGTTTTACTAAAGAGCAAAAACTTGCAGTCCCTCGATGCGATCGAATGAATTTTCGCAATCAAATTCACGTTTTTCCTACCATTAATAAACCATCAATGAGACAACAGGAAAATCCATGCAAGAAGCAGTGGAAAATTCATTGATTGACAGCCTATTCTTCACGTGATGGCAGATTATATATGTAGAGAGAGAGAGAGAGAGAGAGCAGATTGCCAGAGCGTAGCGTAAATCAATCAAAAGTTTTGACATGAAATTGCTTGGCAAAAATGTTCACACATCGAGCAACGGGGCAGGCATAAATTACAGGGTAATTAGAGAGGGGGCTGCTGTAGCTGGTGCTGGTGCCGGTGCCGGTGCCGTTGCCGTTTCCTCCCCTTCATTAGAATTTTCTCCTCCCGTTCGGACCCAACAATTATGCTAATTCCTTTTTTGGCCTTTGCTGCCTGCCCTGCCAGCTGTGGGCGCCGCTCGTTAAACAGTCGAAAATGTTCACAGCCAAGGCTACTTTGCCATGGCTTTTTCCCCGCCAGCTCTAGGTCCGGTCCTACTCGGCTACGGCCTTGATGTGGCGCTTAATTCAATGAAATTTGTAACAATTGCATTTCGGAAAATTCTCTGCCCTCCAGTGGGTTTTATAATTAACGCGGGGCTACTGATGATGATTTAGCGGAAACAAGTGGGGGAATATTTTCATATTTTAGAAAATAAAAAAGGAAAAGAGAGGTAAAGCATGCAAAATATGGTGTGGTGAGAAGGTAATATTTTCCATATTTTAACTGAAAAAAGAGCAAATGAATGAGCGAATGAGGAGGTTTTTCATTTTAATTAATTTCAACCTATTTGAATAATTAGTTGAGGTTTCAGTCAGTCAATGTTTTTATTTGGAAATGTGTAATGGTAAATTTGGAAATAGATCTTTATTGCCATAGCAATTTGTTCATAATTGATTTGGTTTATTCCGACCAATGCAATTACTACTGCATTTGCATGGAAATACGAGTAGTATATTTCTGTTTGGGGTTTCTGTCTATTTTTGAAATGGAGAATTTTATTTTTCTCAGAATTTTAAGGGTAGAACATGTAGTTTGTTACCAAAACCATAAACTATTCTGTTTCAGCGGTCGTTTGGCTGATGCAAGAGAGTGATGGATGTTGCGGCTTGTGGGTGTTGTGGTGCTATTATCCGTTTGTGTCCCTTTTCTCCCTGACTATGTGTTTTCTTTCCTTTGGGTGCACTATATTCTGACTATTATTTCCGATTTTTCTAGACCATTTTTCTTAGTTCTTTGCGTATATCAGAATATGTATGTCCTCCCTTTCAGCGGGTTTTACGGTTTTTTTTAAACGATTTTCCACTTTAAAGGGATAAAAGTTATATTTTATAACCGGTTTTCCAATTTAAATGTGTGTTTCAATGCATCAATGTTTTCCCTAGTTTTCTTTCATTAAAATTAATTTCAAAATTAAAAAAAAATATTCATTTAATATATATTAGCTCCATTAAAGCCTTGTAATCCATTTTCATTAAATAATTGTCATTGGCTTTTAAGCATTACATTATGAATTCATAATTAGCTAATAGTTCAACCCCCTGCGAATTAGAAAAAATGTTCCACTTGCATATTTTTTGCGTATTTTTTTTTTATAATTTTATAATAATCTTAATATATAATCTTTTTCCACTGATTTGCTCTTTATGTTCACACTTAAAAATACTCCATTAATTTTCATATTTTACACCCACGTTTTTTACACATTTTCTCGTTCTGGTTTTGCATCATTTGCATAATTGATATGTCTATTTTTTGCTGTTTTCTTTTTTTAATAAATTATGTGACTGAATGAAGTTGAATTAAATTAAATCCGATTATATTAATCGGAAAATATTCAGTTATGAAAATCTACAAATTAATGGAGGCCTCAAATTATTATTTTATTCTGAGCAAAAAAGTGAAAATTATGCAAGAAAATTTCTTGTTAGGGAAATTTAATCCAGCTGCGCCCACGCCATAGTCTGGATAGCAGGTCCTATATCAAAAATTTATGACAGCCCCCCGCCTTTGGGAGGGACACAGTGACACTCCCTACCCAGTCAGTGAGTGATGAAACACTTTGAATTTTCTAATTTCCGAAGAGCAGAAGGCGCCTGCCTGCCTCCTGCTCTTGTTTATCGATTGAAGCATCTTTTGAGCCAAAGTATCTTTTGTTTCAGCATTAAAAGCCATGAAGATACATCATATTTTAAGTATCCAACGCCCATTGAACAAATGCTTTAGTGCTGGCCATTTGCAGACTACGAATTGGGTCATCTGTTTGTGCTTTTTGTAGGTACCTATTCAAGTGTTTTAATTCCCAATGATCCTCCCAATCAAGTCATATTCCCTGCAATTTCTGGGACACACACACAGAAAATAAATCCCCAGCTAACATTCTAAATGAGTATTATTATTATGGATAGTTCCCTTGTAAAAAATATCTTTTAGACTATATTTATTATTCTATTACCTATTTTGTGTGCAGTTTCCTGCTGCTGGGTATCTATAATTCGAATATCCATCATTCTATAACTTTTTCTATGTTTTGCTGGCCCTTCACTTTGACAAAAACATATGCCCTGCCCTGTGTCCCCTCCCACCTTTTGATTAAACTTACAATTAATCAACGCTTTCCTAACGCTGCTGCTGCCATTTGTTTTCACACTCACTGTGTTTTTACTGTCATTTGTCGTTGTTGTTTGTCGTTTATTTCATTCTGGCCTTAATGCCAGCAGTATGGCGGCAGAATGTCAGCGGAATGCGGGCCAAAAGATACGCGAATGGCGAGCGAAAGGCGAACAACGAATGTCTGCCTGCCTGATGTTTGACTGTCAATCACCGGAAAGGAGCAGCGCAGCTCAGCTTAAAGGAAAATTAAATTTAATTGACAGGCGAATTTAATAGCTGGAAATTTAATGCTGAAATCAAACGAATTAAGACACTAAAAAGTTACATCGAGTTTTTCGTTTTCGTTTTCTTTTCCTTTTTATTTTCCATTAGAAAAGATATTTATTTGTTGGATGCCTGCTTAGATGCCTAGAAATCATTCCATTAAATAGTTAAACTATAACTAAATGTTGCGCTTTGCACTTACACAACTATATTTAGAGGAGGCGGGTGGGGGGGGATCATATTATGGGGGGTGTTAAAGGTCACTCTTAAACATAAGTATCACCTTATCAAGTGGGCGCCACAAAATGTGTGTTGAATGCTGCTTTTTGTCGTCCCCCACCCGCCCCGCTCAAAAGCGTAGCAGCTGCAGAAAGGGGCTCTCGATCCGCAACTGCAATGCCCTGGTGGGGGGAGTGGTGGGAGGGTCATGCAAGCAGCAATAGAAAACAATTTTGTTTTGGTCTTTATCTAAATATTAGTTTCGGTATTAGTTAAGTTATTAATTAGCTAATCTAAAGGGGAAGGGGGGTTACAGCCACAGAGCATCGATGGCATCTTCCACTTCGTCCGGTTGCGGGTGCGGGTTCTGCGGCTGGCGTTCCCGCTGCTGTTGCTCCTCACTGACGAGCACCGCCTTGGCCTTCATTTCATCGTTGGATGAACTGTGCAGCAGGACCATCAACAGGACACTGCTGCGTCGCTGCTGCTGCTGATGATCCTGCTGCTGCAGCTGCTCCTCGCTGGCACCCGCCGGAGTGAGCGTTCTGTTGTTGGCCCTCAATTTGCGCAGCCACTCGGTTGTGGGCCAAATGCACTTGCCACTGCCGCGGCGTTGTCTGCGGCGTGAAGTGCTGGTGCTGGTGCTGGTGTTGCCCTTGCCCTTGCCCTTGGTCGAAGGTGGGGCTGGTGTCCTGTGCAGCATTTCCACCATGCTGATGTCATTTGTTGCATCCACAGCGCATCCATCAACCACTGATGACGCCCCAACGCCAGCCCCTGGTGCCATGGCCGATGCAGTGTTTGCACGGCCGCTGCTCTCGTGCTACACATTTGTCACCTGCGTCGTGAGACCCACCAGATCGATGGCCATGCTCTTGCTCACAGCATCCGTGTGTAGCAGCCGCTGCCTGCCGCCGCCCTCCCGCTGTCCGCCATGGCGGCCATCGATGTCGTGCTGGGAGAGCGGCAGCCATTTGTCCAGCCAGCGGGGTCGGAAGAGCAGGGTAAAGGTGGTGCGAAACTGTCGGCTCATCGAGCAATAGAGAATGAAGTTGATGCTGGAGTTGATCAGGGCCAAAATGTCCATTAAATCACCTGGAGACAGAAGAAGGAAACACGAAGGAAAATATAATTAGAAGAGAAACCCCAAAAGGAAGGGCAAACTCACTCAATTTCAGGTAGCACTGCAGGAAGAAGGCATCCCCCAGGAGGGCATTCAGCAGACCCATGATACCCTGTGGAAATTCGGTAATCAAGAAGAGTAACAGCACCGCCAGCAGCATGCGAGTGGTGCGATCCGTTTGCTTCTCCTTCTCCAGGAGTTTGCAGCTCTTGGACGTGGGTGTGGGCGTAACGACCTTCCCATTGACAATCGGCTGCATGTCGCTGGCCGCATGGCAGGCCAGGACCTTGCGCCGTCGCTTCGCCTCCAGCAGGGCGCCAATTAGCCGCACAGAGAGCACCGTCAACGCGAAGCAGGGTATGAGTTTGATGAGCACACTGTAGATGAGGAATGTGGCATTCCGCAGCTGGCGATCGTGCAGCGCGAGCGCACTATGATAGAGCTTGAAAACGGTGACATTTCGCACGCCCGGCAGTTCCCCGGCCATTGTGCTCGTCGTCAGGGGCACCACTGTGGTGAGCGATGCATTGCTGTACGTCCTGTGCTGCATCCACGAGATCTCTGGCGTTGTGCTGGACATCACCTGCATTGTGATGGCATTCTCCTCTCGATTGTAGTCCAAAATGTACTGGCTCAGGGGCACCGAATGGATCGTCTTGCCGCTCGCGTCGAGCGTCTCCAGGAACTTCGCAATGGCCGTGACCAGATACAGCCACGGGGACACCACCAGGACACACACCACATAGGCCGTGGCAATGGTGATCAGAGTCGTACGCATGCCACACCAAATGCGATTCCGCTGCGGATAACTGACGGCAATGTAGCGCCACACCGCCAGGGTGACAGTCAGCCAAATGGAGATCGTGTGCAACACTTGCGGAAACACCGAATGGAACTTGATGAAGCAGGCCCACTCATAGCTCAATTGCCTCTCGCGCGGCAGCCGGGCACTCAGTATATAGTCATGGATCGTGTAGGGTATGTACTCGAGCATCACCGCGAGATCTGCCACCGCCAGGCCCGTGAGTATCGCGTTCGTTGGGGAGCGCATCTCGCGGCGGGTCAGCACAATGATGTTCAGTGTGTTGGCTATCGTTCCCAGCAGGCAGACAATCAGCGAAAAGTAGCCATGAAAGTATTTGTAGCTGCAAAAGAAAAGGGGGAAACCGAGGGGAAATTTTGATTAGAGTTGAATAGATTTGGCAAGCGATTTCCACACCTTTTTCCCCCAGAGGTGATGATTATATTATATGCGGCCATGCCATGCCTGCTGACAAATCATTATGCAAATTGCATTTGGGCAAAGTGTTAGCCTATATATAGACTAGGGGATACCCTCTAATTGGATACTAAGTGAGGAAAACTCTTGAAGGCATCATAAAGAGATGACAATTAATATTAGCGGAAAATGTTTCCAATTACAGAAGATTCCCTTCAAAAGCAGATGTAACTTTTCTATATTAAATACTATATTAAATTGGCCCATCTAATCCCATTTATATTTGCTTTAACAAGTGAATAATCCATTTTCTAGAGCTCAAAAGCAGAGTTTGTTCTGATTAAAATAAACCTTTTCTCAAAAACAAATAACAGACATCAATGGCCGAGTGTATGGCAATTGATTCTCTTGTGTCGAAGTAGCTTCCTTCAGCACAACACACCCCAAATGTGCCGCCCCAAAAGTACAGGATATCAAAAAGTAATTAATATGCAGACATCCCCAGAGCCAAACATCAGCACCGCACCGCACCCTACATCACTTGTGTCCTTGGCCCTATCCATGGTGCTTTCGCTCGTCCTCGTCCTATGCCTGGCCTTTTTGCGCTGTAAAAGCGAAAACCCTGTGACTGCTCGCTTACTTTGTGTGAAAATCATCGATGGCAGTGCCGCAATAATGCGGCTGCGACATGTTCGTGACCATGATGATGTTGTCCAATGACTGATGAGGGCAGGTCCTCTGTTGATTGACTCGACCGCTCACCGCTCACCGAGCACCGAGTGCCGAGTGTCGCTCTTTTTTGGCACGGGAAGCGCGCCTCCTCCTACTGCTTGCTGCTTTGGCTTCTGCTGCTGCTGCCTCTCCCTCTCCTTTCAGCTGCTGTTTATGGGGCAGGCGACAGGCGGCAGCCAGTGGCTTTGTCGTCTCATTAAAATTACTTTTTTTTCTCTCTCGAAATTCCCAATATTTTGGATGTTTAAATATTCAAGCTGCGTGTCGATTGGTGGATTGGGGGATTGGGTATGCCCTGTAATGAAACAAACAGAAAGCATAAATTTCAGTGGTAGTGGCAGAACACACGTTCCTTTATTACGTGTTGATCAAAATACAAATATAAATGTTGCATGCCACATGCAAGCGGAAATGCAAAATTCAACTTGAAGTTGAAGTTGAAGTTCATGGCACGAAGGCCACACAAAATATGAACAAATAGGAATTTAATGCACCTTTGAATCCTAAAAATTTGAATGGAATGAATGGCACCTTAAGTAATAATAAAAAGAGGGTGAAAAATGTTTATTTTAAGTTGGATTTGCTTGAGAGGACAAGCCTCATTTTGTGTAGAATCTATTGCTCAATCTATTTAATATTCGCTCAGAGAAATCTAAGCACAGGCGACAGAAATATGCATTTCGTTCCATTTATATTACGCATAAAAGCAGATGGAGTGGAGTGGATTCATTTCGTTTAAATCAGTGCCAATCCCCATCCTTCACTGCAGCTTCAGTTGAAGCCAAAGCCTCGGCTCGCCCTGAATGTGAGACTCCAATCGCTCTGCTCGAAATGTAAGAGGACCTTTAGACCTGTGCCCCCTTAATTCCATTAGACAAATGAGAAAATATGCAGCAGAAAATGCAACCAAACGAAGGACAAAAGGGCAGCAGGGCATGGGGCTTTTGCCCTGAACCGGAAACCAAACTTTGAGCCATGAAAGATGCCTAACATTTAATTAAAAGTGTTGCTGCCTTTCTGACTTGTTTTATGGCTTGTTCAGCATTTTCCAAAACACCAAGAGAATTTTCATGACATTTTCAAACATTTTCTATTTTTGCTATTCCCTCACTCTCCGACACTTTTGCCCGGGTTTTTTTTTTTATATTTCACAGATTTTTCCTAGTGTTGCCCTTACTCTGATAATTTGCACTGATATTTATCTTCGTGCTAACAATTTTCACTCACTCTTACATACATATTTTTCGTAGGTGTTTTCCGAATAAATCCCCTGTAGGCCCCATTGTATTCCATTTTCAACCAAACAAAAACCGAAGACCAAAACCAAAACCAAACAAGATATTTTTTCAGCCATAAAGTGAGAGATTATCAAGAAAATACTAAGAAATAAATTGAGTTTTCAGCATTTTCCATGCATTTTCATCTTGTTAGGCGATTTAGTGAGGCGCAAAATCTCCCAACACCAGACACCAGATGCTGCTGCCTGCAGAGCTTAACAAAGAAAGTTCCTTTACAGTGATTAAATCGTTACAGAAAAATGATTTTGGTTCAGAGATTTTCCCAAATTGTGAGGCTTAGCTCTGACTTGTGGAAAGTTTGCCTGGACAAGCGGAATACAGGGCTAAACTTTTGGGGAAAACCCCCAAGCCAAATGGGACATAAGTTTTATTTAGGGGAATAATTAATCCACTGAATGGAAATGTCATAGCATGCGGGTATGGTTTTCCCTTCAAGGAGAGAAAAAGCTTTAAAAATGTGAAAACATTTGCCTAATTTCTCAGCACACAAAATTGAATTGAATTTAATTTTCAGGAAAATACACAAAAACCAAAAGTAGTCGAAGGATTTCCTGTTAATTGTATCTTTGTTTTTCAGGGCTTTTCCTCTAATGTAACTAATACCGGAATGGGTTTCCCGTTAAGCAAAATAAATCTTCAAATATGTGAAAATATTTGCCTATTTTTCCACCACACATTTTCTGGACAAATGTCATAACTGAATTGAATTTCATTTCGTGGAAAATACATAGAGACCAAAAGTATCAGAGCGTTTCCTGTTTTGTCTTTTGTTTTTCTTGCTTTTTTTTTTGTGTGGCTTTTCCATGGCCTTTTCACTAATGTAACTAATACGCAACGTATGCCGCACATTACCAGAAGTTTCGGCATGAAACTAGTGGCAGGAATGTCCCTTAAAGTTGTGCCACAAGTCACGTAACGTGATTCTTCCCCCGCCCGCTCGCTCAGACGACTTGTTGACGATGACAGAAACAGCAGAACCGAACACAACAGAATCTTTTGCTACACAGGTCGCTCGCTCGCTTGCTGTGTTGCTTGCCCCCATCTGACAGCTGCCACTGCCACGCACTTAAGTGGGTGCAGCAGATGGGGGTGGCGGCAGGGCACTCGTGGCCGCCTAATAGACAACACAACAGGCATTTAAATGATGTAATGAAGCCATTGGCGAAGGCTGTCATTTGTCGCTTCGCTCCTCCGCAGTGGATTATTAATTCCTTAGAGGCTCCCCCTCGTAATGGTTATCCCCAGTCTGTGCCTCCCCACCCTGCCTCTGGTGTCACATTTTAATTACAATTTCTGGCCACGCCCTATTCGACACTTGCCACATGGTTTGAATGGTTTCAATGGTTCACTCAAATGGTGATTAATACTCGTAATTGCCCTGCGATTGATATCTGAATCCATTAGCAGCATTTGTTCGACTGTTTCCTGCTGTCCATTCATCTGTTCCGGAGCCTTGGAAAAAAAAGTGAACAGGAATTGTAAGCATCATCAAAGAGAAGTTTTCAAGTGAAAATTCTGGGAAATATCATACTCTGAGGGGTTTTCAAGTACAAAAGAACTAAAGGCTTCATCAATGAAGAGGTTCAAAGTGCGTAATCATCGATTGGGTGCTCCAAGTGCTGAAAAGATTAGCCCTTGAAAATGTAAACAGGATTAAGAGGTAGACTTGTTTAAAGCAACAAATGTTTAATTTCTAGCCACAATTTTGGCCACAAGCCAAGGGGTTGGCCAATGGAATTGCCATTTTTTCCATTCTCTGAACTCAAATTGTAGGCCAAATATCTGTGGCATGTCCCCGAGACAGGCAGGCAGGCAGCACTGCAAAAATGCTGCAGACTCTGTTTTGTGTTTTCTGTTTTCTGTTTTCGTTTCTACTTTTTTGGGGCTTGGGTTTTGGGTTTCGGGGCCCCAATCTAATGAGCATACATCTGAAGGGATTGTACGAGTGAGTGCTGGGCGCTCTCCTTTCCATGTGTGTTTTTCCTCGGGTAAGCAGCTTGCTTTTGTTGCTGCTGCTGCTGCTGCTGCCTGCTGCCCTTGGCTATCCATGAGAATGAGAGAGCCCTTCTCACGTTCAGTTAGAGCCAGAGCAGCCACTGGAAAATTTACGAAAATGAAAAGCTTTGGCATACATTTTCAGCATTTTCCGGTTAGGGAGTTTCATTGGGGAATGCGGTTAGAGAGAGAGAGAGAGCGCTTACAATAGAACGGGGGGAAATTATGCCAGAAGGTAAACGTGCCACGTGCTGCCTGTCGGTGCCTGTTGGGTCTTCATTTCAGTTTCAGTTTCAGTTTTTCGTGTGAGTTTTTGGGGCCGGAAATCCGCTCAGAAAACCCAGCACGGGCACCAGCAGCAGTGGCATGTGTGGCACACAGAGCAATATTTGTGGTTCTACTTAGCGAAAAGTGTAGCTCACTCTCTATATAAAAAATGGAGCAAAATGAGAATGAAATGAGCACTTAAAGAAGGGGGAAAGAAAAGCCAAAAGAGGGGAAAGCACAGAGAGAAACATATGAGACCGGACGAAGGAGCAGCAGAGGCTGGGGACAAAGAGCCAAGCGAATTAATTGAACTCTTGGCATGCGGGGGAGCGTATGAGAGCAATAATATGGAAACTGGCAATCAAATTCGCATCCATAGTCATAAATAACGTACCACATACCCTGGAAAGATGGTTAAGAAAGTTTTTTTGTTCCCTAAACCCTGCACGGGCAGAGCATCTCAATGGTCAATCAATACTCTTCCCAGAAGCTTTTTTTTTGGCTGAAAGAATCATTAAGAGTGGAAATCGGGTTTTCAAATCACTATATTCGGTAGAAAACTCTACAAATCGATATCGATATATACAGGGTATCTTATGCTTCTTCGCCTTCAGTGTGTTGCTTTTTTTTATCGATTGGATCGTACTTGTGATGATATCATCAATTGATCTCCGTTAATTCACGCAACTGCAGGGTATCTTTTAATTCGATTTCCTGCTTTCTTTGTTGGTTTTCTTCCCTCTTTCTTTTCCGTTCAACAATCGAAATGCTACAAAAAAAAAAAAGAAGAACAATAAAGGAAAAAAACTGAAACAATTTTTCCGCTTTGTTGCAGGGAATTAATCCTATATTTCGTACCAGCTCCTACTCCTGTGGCATGTGGCAGAAGGAACTTTGTTTGGGATATGGCCTACGATGTCCGTAGGGTGATTTTCTAATTCCCACCCATTTTTTCTACTTTTCCCTAGCAAATTTTGCTCGTGTGCAAGTGTAACTTGACTTTTTCTAGCTTCGTTTCGTTTCTCTTTTTGATGCTTGGAGGAAGAGGAGGCAAAGACCACAGCAATTACAGGCAGCAAATTGCTGTGGTATCTACCTCCCCTTCCTTTCGTTGGAGTTTAATTTTTTGTATTCTTTTTGTTACAAATTTTCCACATTTTTTTCCCCAAATTTTATGTTAACTTCTTTGGTATTTGATGTTGATGCTTGTTTTTGGCACTTTTCCTCTTTTTTTTTATTATCGCCTTCTTTTTTTTCCTTCTGTTTTCTCAAAATTTTAACCACAATTCTCTCTCTGTGTTTGCACCATTTGTTGCCGTTTTTCTTTTTCGTTTTGTGTGCTTAATTTTTCCAGCTTCTCGAAAGTTTGATGGATTTTTGGTGGAAATTTTGGCGCCAGTATTGAGTTTCTTTATTTAATTAGTTCTGTAATTTATTCGTTCATTGAATGTTTGATGGACAGCTGTCAAAATGAAAGAGAGAGAGCAAGAGAGAGATGTGATTGAAGGGCCTACGGCAGTGACAGTCTTTATTCACGAGACAGAAGGTCAGACTCAGGAAGTATTTTTATTCTGACAAAATAGCCTCAAGGAAGTGTCTTTATTTGGCACAAATGAGGATGTTTTGCCTTGATACGAATAAGGATGTCTGCTCATCTTTTTGACACAAATTAGGATAATTTGTACTTCAATTTCGACATATGTATGTACATATGTATGTGTACTCTCATCTGAGA